CTGTAGCGTCCGAGGCAATAGTTGCTTTGACTAGATGCGTATTTTCTTATTTAGTAAACAATAGATAAATTACGGTTGGATGCATTTTCGCCCAGTATCAGAGCAAGAAAGAGTTAAAAAGGGCTACCGATGCCTCTCTTTTTAAACTGCTGAAGCCTACTGTTCATTCAAGCCTTTTTACTGGGGTGCATAATACGTTGACTAAGCGTGTGCCCAAAACATCTTAAATTTCAAATCGGCTTAAATCAAATTTTTTGAGCGCACTCATGTCTTGTTATTGTTAGCAGTATCCAACATGCTGCATTGATTGTGCTTACCTATTCGATTTGAATCGGGATCTACTGAGGATAAATTTTCAAAACCAATCATTTTGTAAAAATATTCTCTAAAAACGATCTGTTTCAACTTTAATTACCAAAATCGACCCAGTTATAATATATTTTGGTGTTCCGACGGTCGACACTCCACTTGTATGCTCTCTTTCCTTATTTCATCCTCGTCTCATGCCTCTCGTCTTTCTTAAATTGGTTTCTAACAATTCCACCATCTAAATCCCTCTGCCATCAACATCTACCTTTTCCTGTCGTTCCTTTGATCTAAACTACCACCTTAGCATTTCCTGTCCATTTACCTTCTTCATCGCCGTTCTTGTTTGTAGCAGAGGTTGTGGGTTGTAATTTCTTTGAAGAGTCCAATGAACGCATGTCCCAAGGGAGCATGGGGCTGGTAGGTTTCCCTTCCCTTTATTATTAACCACTTCGATTGGATTAAAGGATTTTTGGGAAATATCGGTTCAAAGAAGCCTTATCGGATGGATAATTAATTATATGGTTTTTTTTAACGATGCATTAGACTTTCTTGGCTTGGTTAATAGGTATGTGAAAAAGAACTTGCTAGCGAGAATCTACAAAGATAGACAGAAAGTACAATTTTACCCTTTAGTTTAAATTTAAAAGGGATTTTTGGGAGCATCAAAGCAAATGCTCAATTCATATTATGTATAATATGTATAGGGTATTTTGTATATACGCCCCTTAAATCACGAGCATCTGCAAAACTATTCCAAATCCTCAATTTTGGGGGGAAAAAGAAGAAACATCAACTAAATCATCATACTTGCTGGATATGGTGAGAAAATATTTAATTATTTTCTTAATATGTTTACCTTACACAATTACAAATAAGTCTTCTCATATTTGACGATTTATTGACTTGGTGGTTATATTACCAAAGTCTATTATGATTCACGGAGTAATTCTACAAATGCTGAGGGCTCGGAAAGATTCGCAATTATGTCGTGATTTATGGCGTATATGGTGAGATTTCCATGTTGTCGCTCCAATTGCATTTTTATGTTTAACCTTTCGTACTAGTTAATTTCAGGCGCATTACATACAGTAGCATTTTTTTTTGTGGTGGTGGGTGGGGGAGCCTTCCTTGGTTGAGATCGCAACATATAGCTCAATGTGTCACTATGCCACCAATCCAGGAAAGAAGAAGAAGAAGAAGAAATGTGTCGTATATAAAAAATGGAGAGGCTCGTCCCGGAAACAGGTCAACAATAAGCCGATATCTACGACAAGGTTAAATCATAGAGAGATCTAATAACAGATTAGGTACTTTAACTAAACACAAATAAAATTTTATCCTTCCCCGAGGTGCTTGCAGGCATCTCATGAAACTGGAATAGAAGAGTAAACCTAAGAGAACCTTGCATGTCGAATAATAATATTACTATCATTACTTCGAACTGGCTTCCCCATCTGGAAGCTTGTCATCAGCATCTTCGCTGGGTACATCTGGTCCCTGCGGAATCTTTCCAGGATAATTGGTCACAGCGGGATCTGAACCAGCACCGCTGCAATGTTGTGGCATCAGAATGTAAACAAACCTTAGTTACAAGAATAATAATAATAGTAATAGTAATAATAGCTTGCTGAAATACATGAAAGACAACACGCACCTTCTGTCAATCAATACCATTGAACGGAGCTCGCAGTTAGCAAAGCTGTACAAACATTTAACAGAACCAGATGAGCAAAACTTACAATTACAATTTTTCATATAACATGATGCTTTGCGAATTGCTACTTGCAACAGTAAGCATAACAAATATAGCAGCCTCGACTCATGCAGGATCAGGATCACTACTAACATAGGCATAAGTAAAGCAAGGTAAGACTACAGTGCAACAACTGCTTTAATATATAATGTAAGAAATAGAACATAATCTTCTACTTATAGTAAATGATTAAGTTCAAAGAATAATGCAAAAAAAAAAACATTTCTTTCACGAACACTTCACGATACAGGAATATCATAGTCTGCCAACCAAGCACCCTGCAGCGTCTCATATCTCTATTTAGAGGAGAACTCATTCAGATAAAAACCAAATATGAACCAAACCATTCAGTTCCAGCCGTTCAGTTTTTGACCAAAATGGTTCATTTTGGTTCTAGATAACTTTTCAAGTCCGCATTTGGTTCGTTGTTCAGTTGAGGGGAGGGAAAAAGAAACTCAAACCAGACTAACTAAATCCTTTGATTTTTGCTATTTGCAGACTTTGGCTAGACCTGTAACTATCAGTGATTCAGTGGTCCATTAAATGAATAGTTGGTAGAGCCTAAACCTTACAGAGAATCTAGTCGTCCCAAAAAGATTTCACCTTATTTCCTCAATCTGGTTGTCCTCTTCTTTCCCTCCTATCTCTGCTGCTACCAAATTTGGGATCCATCACCTACCTCCAGCACTCGTTAGTCATTCCTCATGGCAAAGAACAATTAGGTGGCATTCATATGAGCAAAAAGAGCATGATCTCTTCAAAGTTCAAAGCATGATAAATCAGCAAGATTTCTTCTTCGAGCTTGGCTGACTATTACTAATGGGGAGCACAAGGTGATTTCCAACCTAAACTATCCAAAAACCATAAAACCGGTCATACAACAAGGAAATAACTGATGATAAGAAAAAAAAGGAGACTCTTAAAGGATTCAAGTCGTTCATTTTAAAGTTATATTTACTGTAATTTCTTGCATGATATGTTCATGGACTGCTCAATTTATTATATCAGTATCTTTTTCCCTTCAATCAATTCATTTTTTCCCCTTCAACTGTGTTTATTATGTTAGTTTATTGGTTTTTAAATTGGCCTGGTGTTGAAAATATAGGTAGTGACTTGATGCGTAACATAGAACTGAGATTGAGCTACAACTTCAAATTTGCACTTGGCCATCTTAGACTTTGGAGTTTGTTGAAACACAGAAATCTCATTGTCAACTCTAAGTCGGTTATATTGCCTCTTTTTTCGGTTTTATTTACCCATAAAAGCGGGAAATCAATCTGAATCTGAGACTGGTTCTTTTCTACTAGTTTCGCTTCATCTGAAACTATAATGCATTTGTGACATATCCTGCTTTAAGTATGGTTCAGTTACTCGACTGCAATGTGAAAAATAATGAAAATGTATAATGTATTGCTCTGCCTCTTGTTAGGTTAAAGGTACAATTGGCACACTTAGTTTTATGTTTCAACTTTCAACAAACTCCAAAGTCTAAAATTGCAAAATGCAAAAGTTTGAAATTGTAGCTCAATTTCAGTTCTATCTTAAGCATCAAGTCACCTATTTTTAACACCAAGCCACTTATGTTTTATGTTTTTTAAGGGAAAAATCCTTTTAGGCCCGAAAATGATATAGCAAATGTGACTAACTGCCAAGACTTAGTCAAGAAGTGCTTAGACCCCAAAATTAAAAAGTAAATGTGTTTAGCCCCCAATATACCTTGCCATGTCTATACCCATTCTACCCTCATTTAATGAGGTCACTTCCCCCATTTTCTCATTTAGTTGTGGTAACCTTTATATCCAAATAAAAAACAACCCTTCCCTCTTCTTTTTTATATGGGGGTTTATGCAAAATTTTATAGCAGGTTTATGCAAAAATTTAGGGGGTTATTTACAAAATTTGAAACTTTCTGAGAAATTTTCTACAATTTTTGGCGGGTTATTTGCAATTTCTGAAACTTTTTGGAGGGTCTTTTGCAACTTTTCAGGGTTATTTACAATTTTTGAAACTTTTTGTGGGATTTTCTGAAGTTTTTGGGGGTTATTTGCAAATTTTGGAACTTTGGGGGTTCTGTGATTTTTTGGGGGGTCATTTGGAATTTTTGAAACTTCCAAGGGGTTTTTTGAATTTTTTGAGGGTACATTTGCAATTACTGAAACTTTCTACGGCAGTTTCTGTAATTTTTAGGATTATTTGTAATTCCTAAAACTTTTTTGGGGGTATTCTTCATTTTTGGGAGGTTATTTGCAATTGCTGTAACTTTTAAAGGGCTAAACTTATTAATTAGTTGTTAAACTTATGAGTGAGTTGGTAAAATTATAAGTTAGTTTTTAAACATATGAGTTAGTTGTTAAATGTATGTGATAGTTGTTAAACTTATGAATTAGTTGTTAAATTCTAGAATTATATGTTAAGCTTATGATTAGTTATTAAACTTATTATATTCCAAATTATCCAAAATTAACTTCAATTTTATTAATTTAATAAATTTAACAACTAACTTATAAGTTTAACATCTAATAAGTGTTATAGCTTCAATTTCTGTAGCTTACAAGGGGTTAAATTTATTAGCTAGTTGCTAAACTTATTAGTTGACAAACTTATGAGTTAGTTTATAAATTTATGTGATAGTTGTTAAACTTTTGAGTTAGATGTTAAACTTATGTGATAGTTGTTAAGCAATTTTTTCTCTTTTTTAATTTAAAACAAATATAAAAATGTACATGATAATTTGTATAAATAGGAATACAATTGTTTTTGTGAGTTTTTTTATCATTTCTCTTTTGTGCTGGTGAAATTTTGTGCTCCTGGGTATGCTTAGGATAAAAGTGCGTACATAAAAGCCCTTCGGTAAATGAAATAAATGTTTAGTTAAAGGGAACATGATTTCAAATAATAATAAAAAAGTTTTTTAACAAAAAAAAAAATCAATTTTTATGCAAGACATACTAATTATTACTAATTAACATGATAAATGTCCAAATATATCATCACAAGTTCATATATCTTGTTCAAAATTTCACGTGCACAGTATTCTTCACAAATCTTTAAGTCATAATCACAAGGAAATCACGACTATGAAAACAGACATCAAGGCTAAACAAATAATGTATAAGTAATTATTGAAGTACATCAAGTCTTAAACAAAGCAAAAAAAGAAAAAAAAAATCTTAAGTCTCTGCTATAAATTATATTGCAATAACGCATGTTATATTGAAATAATGTGGGACTGTATTATACTAAAATACTGTACAGTTCATTATAGTATAGTGAAGTTACGATATGTTTGAGTTATTTTAAAATATCATGTAACATTTAAGGTTTTTTAAGTTGCATAACGTGAAATAACGAGTTTCGTAACACATTTTTTCCTTTCAAAATTACTCTAGCGTGAGAGTTGAACATGCTTCCTGGCAGTTTTGGTAGACTGTAGGATAAAGAAGAACCATACAACCATCTAAGACAAAATAAGTTAATATTACATGGGCCAATTCATGGTGGGAACTACTGTTCTTGCTGAAAATTAGGCTTACTTGTTCATGATGTGCTTAAAAAGACAAAAAGTCAGAAGATGTAAGACATGACGATCTGCTTAAAAAGACAAAAGTGGGAAGTTGTAGGACATGATGATCTTCCCTTTGAAAGTGTAATAGTGACAAGGAGATATCGCTCAAGGTTAGGCAGATATTGGTTCATTTTGATTTATTCTGATTGAAGTTATACATGTTTCTTTTTGTTGATGGCATATGATTAGTTGACAAGAATAGATAAATGTGATTTACAAAGTATAAAGATGGAGATTAGTACATTGAAAGTGGAACATAAGGAATGTAATTAAGCAAAAAAGTAAGGAGGAACAAGCATAGTTCAAATTAATGATAAAAAAAAATATCTTCTGTGATTGTTTTAGTTATATAGGAACAATTATTCATCAAGCTAGTAAGACTAACAAATGGGTGATTCATAGAATAAAAGTGAGATAGTCAGAGTAGAGATGGTCTTCTAGAGTTTATGCATTTTTAGAATACCAAAAAGTAGAGGAAATAAGCAGCTGATTGACAAATTAAAAAAGAAAACAAGTTTCACAAGCTAGATATAGTTTCAAAGATATAACACTTTGTGAAACAGAAGTCAAGTAGTGTTATCTGCAATGCACAATAAATAAAGATACACCATGGTGCTTACTGTTTGCCAACTTCATCCTTGATTAAAGGATGACAGTCATTCCCAAATTGTTGTAAGGTATGGAACAAAAATCCACTATGGGTAACAACTGCAATTTCCTTCTCTTTTCGTGTCCACAACCTGAAAGTAAAGTGTAACTCAAGTGATTTCATGTAAGATGTGCAATTTATTGTCAAGTACAATAAGACATGCAATACAAGATTTGGATGCACAATAACAAAAGCTTAAAATTCCATAAATTATATTTAACCACCAAGCCTTCTGACAACCGTTTTTGAATTAGTGTGAAAGGTTGTTTCAACCCACTACTACCAGGTACAAATATTCTACATTTCGCCATGGTTTCAGGGCAATTTTATTGGGTTAATTTATGTGCTGAGAGAAGGAATATACTTGTTATAGTTGGAAAATCTTCAATTTTAAACTCTTAAGTCAGAGGCTTTTATTCCGTGTCAAGGAAATCTAAGCAAATACCCAAACTTCTGGATCCAGAAACTCCTCTGTTCACTTTTATAGTTTTATTAAGACCCATTTCCTCTGTTAAATTAGAAAGCCTTGTATCCTTTTATATTGTTTCAACAGTTCATTACGGTCTAAACTTAGGTGGTCCAATTTAAATCCTAACACTACTAACTAGCCTCACGGGTCACAATTCACGGGTCACAATTCTTCATGTGGGACAATCTCAACTGAACACAACAAGGCATCAGCCAGATAATCAAAGCAGAGTATTCAATTCCAAAGACTTTGCTTCATACACTAAGTTCACTTGTTCATAAGCTGAAGATTTTTTATACGTCATGACGGGTCGATAGTTGATGTTCTTTAGACCCCCCCCCTCCGGGCCCCTCCATATGATGATGTGTGGAAAAATGTCAATTACAGAAAAGCTTTTACCAATTAATAAACTTCATTCCTCTAGCTGCAAGTTCATCGTTTCCTTCTCTTATATCAGCTTTCCACAAAAGATCTTCATCATTTTCTATCTGAAGACAAGGACAAAATTATTCACGAGTTACATGAAGATAGAAGTTTTCAATGCATCCTGATGTGATTTGTAATCAAGACAGATAAATGTTGTTACTTCACAGAATCACTGATGATACGCACCAGAGAAAAATCAATTGCTGGAAACAGAGGCTGATATTGACTTATGCTTCTACGTTTATCACAAGGATGGACTCCCTGCAGAGGGAAATATCATACTTTATTGTGCAAAGCAAGTCAAAGGCAGTGTATCATTTTCAAGGGAAGGGGCAAAAAAAACTAAATTGTAAACATCACAATATCTATCAGTCATAGTTAGCTCAAGTTTTTTATAGGCTTAATGTATCTTAATGATGAGGAACAGAAACACAATTACCGTTGTCCAACTTTTTTCCTCAGGATGGCACTAGCTGTAAAGCACAAGATGAAGGTCTCAGATTTACATAAATAACAAGTTTTTATGACTGACTGTTATCCTGAACAAAACCCTCTACAAGTTGGTGCCAGTTCCTAGAATGAAACCCTCCACAAGTTGGTGCCAGTTCCTAAACAACTCAGCTATTGGAAAGGGGGGGCCTCAATAGTAAATATTGAAGACCCAAAGGATGGTAAACAAAAGTCATGAAAGCAATCCTCCAATTCCTCCCATGTTCCGAACTAGAAAAAAGTCTACAATAATTTGTAAGATGACAGTATTTACTGCTATATCTATGAGGCAGAAAATAGGCAAGTGCTGGATGAAAGTGAAATAAGAGAAACTCCTCCTAAATGCAGTATCACTAAGGAACAGCTCGTCAACATCCATCAGCTCATATGCAAGCATACAGTCACGAAGTGTGCATGCGTCTGGCTGCGCGCGTGCTAGAGCGCGCAAAGAAAAGAAAAGATCTAGAAACTTCTCAATAATCCTTACTTACAAATTTACATATCGACATGAAACTTATAAACTTAAGAAGTGGATTAGTATACACACAAATCATGCACCACATGAGTTTCAACATCAAGAAGCAAATGGCAGGAGAAATACGAATACCATATGTTGTCATTTGATTTGCTAATGGAAATTATAAGAAGATTGAACAAAATGGAATGAGGGAAACAACTACAGATCGCTTTGGCCATCTGGATTTATAAAATTAATAAATAAAAGTATATGGAGATACCAAATGCTCTCGGCAGTATTCAACTGCTATAAAAGGTGGACAATCTAAACTTGAAATTGCAGAACGTCCACTATTCCCGACATTTTCCACCATCAAGGGAGGCACCTTCATTCCGTCGATGAGTTTGTCACCTCCAAAGACTCCAACAGCAGTTTGCATAGTTCTGCAATATATGTGATAAGCAGAATTAGCATCACTTGCAATTTCCCTCGTAAATTACCTTAACTGATAAAACTCATAAAGAATAGAAAATAACCACTTGTGAAACCTAATTTAGGATAGATATATTTCTAAGGTTAAAGGTCTGACTTTGACTTATATTCCCAGTGTACATCTTCGGTTGTTTCAGACGAATAGTCTGAATGTTTAAGCAACCCCTCTATCAAAGTTTTGATCATGTTGTATCCAGTAGGAGATTTTTTTTTTTTAAAATAGGCCACTTTTGACAAATATTTAGCAAATCCGACCGTTTTGCTAAATATTTAGCAAAACCAACCTTTTTTTGGCCAGCTCACGAAAGCTGGCTAAAAAAAGATCGGTTTTGTTGAATGTGGTTTTCGAAACACACAGGACTAGTAGTCACGTGCGTTTAGTGGCCGCTAATCAGCTACTAAATAAAAATAAAAAAAACCCACGTGACTGTTTTTTTAGTTTTCTCACTTTTTTCGGGTACTGTGAGAAATAGAGGGGCTCAGAAACTTGGACAGCCCATCTATGGAGTGGGCTCCACGTGATTTGAGTGGTGTAGCATACTAACATTTACAAAACAAAATTTCAAAGATAGTTTCATTAACTGCTAGTGTGCTACATGTGATGAGAGTGGGCCCCATGTGATGAGAGTGATGTGAGATACAGACGGGGTTTAGAAACAAGGAGAGCCCATCTATGGAGTGGATCCCACGTGATGAGAGTGATGTTCATTGCGTCAACTTTTGGGTTCATCTGTAACGTGTAATTATTCTTGTTTTTAGGCAAACTCACTTTCTGAACCCACGGGACTAGTAGTCCCGTGAGTTTTTTGATTTTTGTTTACTGGCTCATTAGCAGGCACTAAACACACGGGACTATTAGTCCCGTGTGTTGCGAAAATCACATTCATTAAAACCGACCTCTTTTTGGTCAGCTTTGATGAGCTGACCAAAAAGATGTCGGTTTTGCTAAATATTTAGCAAAAGTGGGTTGTTTTTAAAAAATCTCCTTTCCAGTATGGCAATATACCAATCCTCACTCAACGGGAATCTATTTTAGTAAGACTCAATAATCTGATTCTAGAACATCTGTTTATTACATAATATGTATACTAAATAATTTTTTTACACGTATCCACGTGACAGTCAGTGTGATATAAAAAAGTACGAGTGCAGTGATAGAGATCAAGGAAAGAAGTGAAGAAGTGAAATGTTTAAGCTTAGTTAATTTGTTTGATTATAGGCAGTAATAGCTGGGCTTCTTTATTGATAACTTTGTTACTTTAGTAAGAGGAGAGAGTTAAAACAGAACTAGTGCAACATCATCATGAAAGGAAAATTATTGTACACTTTTAAAAGGATAACTAACTAATCTAATTGGTGTGATGAAGAATCCAATCTTTGTGAAATCTCAGGCATACACACATATAGGTGTAAAACTCATTCATTAAACCAAAATTCTCAAAGGATAGATTGTAACCATGAATGTTTCAAAGAGTTGTGTTGGTCAATCTCTCCCAACACCAAAAAAAGAAAGAAAGAGGGAACACGTGAGGGCACACATATAGATATTACTCTACTTCTTAAATAATGATAAAGATTATGAAGCTTGCAACTAAAAATATAATGATTTACAAATCAAAGGTTTGTGGTCACTGGTCACAGTCTCTTGAAGCATCTGAAATGAAAATTTAAAACGAGGTTCAGCATATCCTCACCCTCTGTTGAAGATGGAATTATCATAAATAAAAATTCTTGAAAAAATGAAAGTAATCTCCAGCAAATTATAGGAAAATTATATTTACGTATATCATGGCAACAAAAAATTTCATATGAAGAGCATACTCTTGTATGCACTTAAAGTGCAAATAAGAAAGTACAAAATAGCAAAGCAATTTAATTAACAATTTAAATAGCTCAATTTTTTGCTATACCTTAAAAGAGGCGAGGTAATCACCAACTCAATCTTCTTTGCAAGCCCACTTGCATTAACATGCTTTCGCAAATTATCAACCTGTCCGGGTGCACATAGTTTTTGTTAGGCATACATCTTTTATATATATATATATATATATCATTCTCATACACTCATTCTCATGGTCCCCACTTAAAAACAATCACCCATATATAAGGAATATGGATATGCTTGGTACTAAGCACAAGTATGGCGCGAGGTGGAGGAATCTCAACGATAAATGTGAGTGAGACTAGTTAGATGGAAAGTACATATCCATGTGACACATTTTCTCTTTATACTTTATAACCTTAGATGTAGAGATTAGATGCATCCGGTGGCGGAGCCAGGATTTTCCTTCAAAGGGGGCCAATATACAATCATTGTCTTATGCATCAACCAAAAACCGATTGTCACTATGTAGAAATAACTTTCATAACGTAACTAGATGAAAGAAGAACCTAAAGTAAAAGTTTTACAAAAAAAATATTTCCATAAATACTTAAATCATTACAATATATTCACTCATCGTCAAATCAGTACTTCAATCTTCTAAAATGTCCTTTTTTTTAAATGTATCAATTATAGTTGGCAATTATTATTTTGAAGACTAGATAAGTTCATATTATGCGATAGATTATACTATTAAACTTATTTCAAACGGTGGAAATGAAGAAATGAAACAATTTTAACTATTAAATTTATAATATAGTTACAGAAGTATATGGACACAGAAAATTCATTTAACATATCTATTAATTAATGTAAAAGTTTAGGAAATTAGAAGAACCCAATTTCATTGTTCCATCACAAAATTATAAAACCACATGAAAATATAAATCCTATTTAGAATTTCTACTATTAGATACAAGAACATAGGGAAATTGAAACCCCATTTTTCCTATTATACTTGATGGTGCATATACATAGGAATTTTTCGATCTTTGTTCCCTAAATATTGTAAGTGATTTAAAATTAGTCTCTCTACTTACAGACTAGTTGAAATTGAGAGAATGTTTTTGTTATCTTTAGCAGTTTTGAATGTAATAGCAGACTTAGCAGTTAAATCATATCCTTTCAAATCCAAACCTTGAAAAAACTTTACTAGAGTACAAGTCAGGAAAGATTATATTAGATTTAACACTAATGATTTTGAGCCTTATTTTGGTAGGTTTTAATGTTGATTTTGATTGATTTGAAAATTATCCTTCCCTAATTAACCACTACCCAACAGTGGTTAACAATTTGGATGATAAATTTAACAAACGATAATTTTAAGCACTTCAAATAAACTAATTACAACATATTAGAGTTGGGGAACTAATTTCAAATATGAGAGATTTGGGGGATTAATTTCAAGCATGAACTTTTGGGAACAATTTCAAATTTGGAAGATTTGAGGAGCCATATGAATTTGTTCTATATCTCTACTTGCATTGTTAACAAAAAGTCGGGGAGCCCTGGCCTCCTAGCTCCGCCACAACATCCACCTCACTATCAAGCACCAACTTTGTGCTTAGTAGCAAGCATACTCATTATTCTCTTTCTGTGTATATATAGAAAGGAATATAGGTGTGTTTGGTACTAATCACCAAATTTAGTGCGTGGTGGTAATGAGGCTACTTCTCATCCACTTATTTAACGGAAGAGTAATCAAATGAGGAAATTATTAAATGGTCACCTTTAAATGAGTGGATGAGAAGTGGTCACATCATTCCGCAACATCAATTTTGTGCTTGGTATATTCATCTGGGTGTGTGTGAAATGGGTATGCTTGATACCAAGCACAAACTTGGTGCTTGGTGGTGATGGATACTTCTCGTCAATGCATTTAAAGATGTCTTTTAAAAATGGTTTACACTTAATTTATTCCCTCATTAAATAAGTGGATGAAGAGTAGCCACATCACTAGCGAGCATCAATTTTGTGCTTGGTATCTCAAGCATACCCATTATTCACACACACACACACATATATATATATGATATCCTTGGTACCAAGGACCAATTTTGATCCTTAGTTGTAAAGTGACTCATTCTCATTCACTCATTTTCAAGGAGATAACCATTTTTAAATGAGGACCATTCAAATAAGTGGATTAGAATAAATCACCTCACTACCAAGAATCAAGTTTCCTTGGAATCAAAGATACTTTATATATATATACACACACATACATACTAGTGTGCTAATACCAACAACACACACACACACACACACACACACACACATATATATATATATATATATATATATATATATATATATTTATATATTGTTGGTATTAGCACACTAGTATTAGTATTGGGTTATTGGGTTTAGGCCCATTAACCTATTACCCATATGTGTTGTGTACTCTTATATATAGACCCTTTTCAGATGAATAAATATATGCAATTCTGATTTACCATCTTCAACATGATATCAGAGCCAGCACCCTCCAAACCACTAGTATTAGCATTGGGTTATCGGGTTTAGGCCCATTAACCTATTACACATGTGTTGTGTACTCTTATATATAGACCCTTTTCAGATGAATACAAATATGCAATTCTGATTTATCATCTCCAACATGGTATCAGAGCTATCACCCTCCAAACCCTAACCCTAGTTTCCATTCCTAAAAAAAACAGAAGATCGGATTGATCGATCGAAGATCTGATCAGTGAAGAAGAAGTCGCAGAACCCCAGATCGTCGTCGCCGACCGCTCTTCACTGCGCGCCGAACTCTCTTCTTCACTCGCGACGCGCCCTCTTTCGCCGCTTCTGTGCTTGCTGCCGTCGTCCTCGTCTTCCTCTGAGATCATCGCTGCCATCCCTTGGAACCAAACCCCTTCTTCACTCTGCGCGCACCTTCATCCCTCAGAACCTTAAGGCTCCTCCTCTTAAGCCTTCAACCGCCAATGAAGAATACTTTTCTTCAGTTTGATCTGATCTGAACAGTGACAAAAAAAAATTACGACTCTGACCTTGCTCTCAACTATGCCTATGTATTGATTTCCAATGGTTCTACTTCTCTGATTAAGATTATTCTGCTTCGCTACTACTGTACTATCGTGATCTGTAGCAATGTCTGACATCTCTTCTGCTGCCACTACTGCTGCTGCTGCTGAGATTTTTGCACCCAAAGTTATCTTGAGAACCACTGCGAAGTTAAATAGCACTAACTATCTCATTTGGGCACAAGCCTTCCGCATCTTTATTGATGCTCAGAACAAATTGGCTCATCTTCTGGCCCCACCTCCTGCTTCTACAGATCCTACGTATCCTGCATGTCTCTCTGCTGACTGTTGTGTGATGACTTAGCTTCTTAACAGCATTGAAACGCAGATCAGTAGCAGTGTTATGTTCTTGATCACTGCTAAGGAGATGTGGAATAATTTTAAAATTATGTACGACAATGAGAAGAATGCATCTCGTGTGTTGAAGCTCTATGAGCGACTTTTTTTACTTCAACAGGGCGATCAGTCAGTGCCTGAGTATTTTGGTGAGCTGAAATGTCTGATCGATGAATTAGAGATGCATCAGCCCGCCATTACGGATGCACCGATGCTGTTGGGATATCGTAAGGACCTAGCAATGTCTAAGTTCTTGTCAGGTCTGAGTCCTACTTTACAGTCTCAGGTATGTGGCCAGATGCTAGGAGGAGATACTATTCCTTCCTTGGTTGCTACATTCTCCAAAGTTATGCAGGTTTCTACTGTAGTTACTACTGCATCACCCACATCGTCTCCTCCGTCACTTGATCACTCTGCTACGTTCTCCGGTCGTGGCAGAGGTCGAGGTCATGGTCGGGGACGTGGTTGCGATACAGGGGGGACGAGGTTCTTTTGATGGGAGACAGATTGACTCAGATAAAAGTTCATGTTAGTGCAGACACTGTGGAAGGACTAATCATATATATGAGAAGTGCTGGAAAAAATTTGGTCATCCTGCATGAGCCTAGATGGTTGATATTACTTCTACCTCTGTTGTTTCTCCTGCGAGTACTTCAGCTCCTTCCACAATTCAGATTTTTTAGGCTGAGTATGACCGGTTGCGTCAACTTGAGTGCTCTCAGAGCAGTCATTCTACTATTCATGCATCCTCTTCAGGTATTGATGCTTACATTGCATCTCCTCACAGACTATGGGTATTAGATTCCGGTACCTCATCTCATATGACGGGTATAAAAGATCACTTTGTATCTTTAAATCTTTCTGACAAGTTTCCATCTGTCTGTATTACTGATGGTACATACTCTCTAGTTCTTGGTGATGGAGTAGTCCATGCTACTTTATCGTTGACCCTTACTGATGTTCTATATGTTCCTAAGTTTCCTGTTAGTTTACTGTCTATCAGTAAGTTTACCAAACACAATAACTCTGAAGTAATGTTTTTTCCTTCTTATTGTGTTTTTCAGGACCTAACGACTGGGATGAAGATTGGTTCGGGGCATAAGAGAGGAGACATGTACTATTTGGACGACAATGTGTCCGCTACTGGTCTTGTTGTAGATAAGTCTGATCATTCTTTACTGTGGCATTGGCGCCTTGGTCATCCTTCGTTATCGAAGCTTCAGTCTGTCATTTCTATCTGGTCTTATGTTTCTTCTTTAGGTTGTGAGTCTTGTGAACTGGGTAAGCACCATCGTGCTACTTATAAGAGTCGTGTTGATAAACGCAACAGTTCTGTGTTTGAGTTAGTCCATTCTAATATTTGGGATCCTTATCGTATACCTTCGGTGGAAGGTTTCAGATATTTTATTATCTTTGTTGATGATTTCTCTCGCATAACTTGGCTTTATATGTTAAAAGAGAGGTCTGAGGTTTAAATTGTTATTGAAATGTTTTACAATGAAATAAAGAATTAATTTTCTACTTTTATTCGTATTCTTCATACTGATAATGCTTTGGAATACATGAAAAATGATGTCACTCGTTTTTGTGCAAATATTGGTATTCTTCATCAGACTTCATGCTCTCACACTTCTCAACAAAATGGGGTTGCTGAAAGAAAGCATAGACGTATTTTAGATGTTGCTAGAACTTTGATGATACATATGAATGTTCTCAAGTATTTGTGGTCTGATGTTGTTCTTAGTGCATGTTTCTTGATCAATAAGATGCCCTCGTCTATTCTTAATGGTAAAATATCGTTCACCTACCTCTATCCTGAGAAACAGATTTTTTTGTGGTTCCTCGTGTCTTTAGTTGTACTTGTTTTGTTCAGGATTTGTCTCTGGGACTGGATAAACTATCTCCATGATCTATTAAGTGTGTCTTTATGGGGTATTCGTGTACTCAAAAAGGTTATCGTTGTTTTAATCCATCCACCAGGAGGTATTTTGTGTCCGCTGATATTATATTTTTGAGTCTGTTCCATACTTCTCTTCGGTTGTTTCATCTCCAACTATCAATCCATGTGTTCCTCTACCATCTATTACTCCTACTATTTCATTATCTGCTTCAATTCCTTCTACTGATGTATCTTCTCCAGGATTACAGGGTGACTCTATTGTGCTATCTGCACCACCGCCACTACTGACGTATTCTCATCGTACAAAAGGTCTTGTCCCTCTCTCTGCTCCAGCCGAACAGTCATCTCTGATTGTCAGTCTGCCTCATACTAATACTTCTATTATTTTTGATCCGAATATTCCTATTGCTCATCAAAAAGGTAAACGTTATTGTACTAATCATCCTATATCTGATTTTGTTTCCTATGACTGTCTTACTCCATCTTCTTGTCAGTTTGCTTTGTCCTTGTCCTCTATATCTATACCCACGTCATATGAGGAGGCTATGTTAGTTCCCGCTTGGAAATAAGTCATGGATGAGGAGATGGATACACTTGTTTCTAGAGAGACTTGGGATCTTGTTCCTTTTCCTACAGGTGCTACTGTAGTTAGCTATCGGTGGGTATATACCCTAAAGTATCACACAGATGATTCTGTTGATCGCTATAAAGCTTATCTTGTTGCTAAGGGTTATACTCAAACTTATGGGGTCAACTATTTTGAGACGTTCTCCCCAATTACCCGTCTCAATTCTATTCGACTTCTTTTCTCTATGGCTGTTAATCTGGACTGGACCATGTTTCAGCTGGATGTTAAGAATGCTTTTCTGTATGGTGACTTACAGGAGGAGGTCTATATGGAGCAACCTCCGGAATATGTTGCTCAGGGAGAAAATACTATCTGTAGGTTTAAAAAGGTGATTTATGATCTCAAAGTTCACAGGCATGGTTTGAGAAATTTAATACTGCTATATCTGGTGTCGGTTTTTAAACGGTGTCGGTTTTAAACAGTGTTAGTCAAATCACTCAGTCTTTATTTAACACACTATATCCGATTTGGTGATTCTGGCCGTATATGTTGATGATATCCTGCTGACTGGGAGTGACCTTACTGTCTTAGCAGAGACTAAGGAATACCTTTCACGTTATTTTGTGATCAAAGATATGAGAAAACCAAAATTATTTTTTTGGGATTGAGATTGCATATCAAAAGCACGGTTTACTTCTATCTCAAAGAAAATATGTATTGGACATGTTAGAAGAAATGAGTCTTTTGGGGTGTAAGCCAGCAAACACTCCAATGGAGGTGAACATGGATTTGTGGTGTGATAATAGTCTTCTCCTAGATGATGCAGATCGATATAGGAGATTGATTGGCAAGTTGATATACCTTATTGTGACCAGCCCTAATATTAGGTTTATGCATCAACCTAGAGAGGTTCACTAGACAGCTACTTTGAGGATTTTAGCTTATGTTAAAACTTAAAAGCTGTCCTGAAAAAAAATTATTATATAAAAAACATGGACATTTACACATCTTTATTTTTTTATGCAGGGGTATGCGGGAGACATAGGAGATAAGAAGTTTATTTCTGAATTTTGCACTTTTATTGGAGGAAATTTGGTAACTTGGAGGAGCAAGAAACAAGAAACAAGACATGGTATCTCGAACTAGTGCGGAGGCAGAATACAGAGCTATGGCTCACACTGTATGTGAGATGATGTGGTTGCAGAAACTGTTGACAGAGCTTGGTTTTGCTCAGTCTGAATCTATGTTTATGTATTGTGATAACTAGTCAACTATCTATATTGTAAAGAATCCAGTGTTTCATGAGAGAACTAAACACATTGAGGTTGATTGTAATTTTGTCAGAGATACTTGGGAAAAGAAAGTGATTTCTCTTCAGTTCACTCTGTCTTCAGAACAGTTAGTTGATATTCTCACCAAAGCTACCTCACCTAAGGTATTTTTCAATTTGTGTAACAAACTGGGCATGATTGATATATATGCTCCGCTTGAGGTGGAGTGTTGGTATTAGCACACTAGTATTAGTATTAGGTTATCAGGTTAGGCCCATTAACCTATTACCCATATGTGTTGTATACTCTTATATATAAACCTTTTCAGATGAAAAAATATATGCAATTCTGATTTACCATCTTCAACATGTTCAGATGAAAAAATATATGCAATTCTGATTTACCATCTTCAACATATATATATATATATAGAGAGAGAGAGAGAGAGTAAAGCTCCTATAAACTTAAGTGGATAGAAACTTTTTTCCTTTGATTTTGCTTTGAGATTCGTGCTAGATATAAAGAGTATCTTTGAAATGTGTACATTGATTATATCACGTCAAATAAAATCCATGGATAAAAAAAAGTTGTTGGACATGAAACTCCTATCCATAGAAGTCTAAAGGACTTTTACTACACATACATACACACGCACGCACGCACATATATATACATACTACACACACATATATATGGGAAAAGTGTTCATAAGATGACACCTTAGATTTGATCTAAGGAAGCGCCTCTTGATTCATGAATTAGACTATTTCAATTGATGATCCGCTCCATTCATCATGATTTAAATATCTCAAAATATCTATAAAATAAAATTATGACGATATATACTTTTAACACATATTTTTCATCGTCTCTTTAGTTATATAGTCGTAAAACCGTTAATTTAACAATCACTTTATGAACGAGTAAGTATAATTTAATATGTCTAATTGTTTCTTTGTATACAATCCAAAACATATAAATCAAAATGAATAGTGGACCGAGTAATTTGATAGCATATAATATAGTTTTGAATGTGCTACCTTAGATTTAACGTAACGTGTCACCTTATAAACAACCATACACACATACACACTCCCTTCAAAAGTGGGAGTTTGGGAAAAACTTTTGTCCTATCTTAATTAATTTAATTATTAGGTATACGCTTTAATTATCCTATCCTAATTAATATGTATATAAGCTTAGATTTGATTTAAGTATGTTTAAAATCTACTTTCCTTTATAACTAAAGGAAAACTTAATGATGAACAGTAAAATTTCTTATTATCCACGTATTCTATCAATTTCCCTCAATGGTTTCTTTTTTGCTCGCAACTTCCCCACACTATCTTCAGCCACGTTTTGCAGTTGCCTCAACTTCCCCACAACCCTAGCCCTAAAATCCCTCTAAACTCGCTAACATCCATTCATGGATCCCAAACCCATCTATCTCGGGAGCGCCGGCGGTGGCAATGCCGACGAGTTCACGATCACTCGCTCCTCCCGACGCTACTCGCTTCTCTCGCCTCTAATCGCATGGTTCTCGATGTCTGCAATCAATCACTCATCTTATCTTTTTAACTCTTTAGGTTTTTTTTACAAACGATCGAAGATCCCTCCCCACCCCCCCAGTCTACGAATGATCTGCGTCGCAACGTCAGGATTGGATGAGGAAGAAAGCTTATCGTCGCACTCGATTCGACGTAGCAGACATGTTTGAAGACTGAAGAGGAAAAGCCGAGCAAACACTTTATTGTCCCTTGTCCAAAAGTATGAAAGCGGCTCCCATTTACAAGTTTTCAATCTTTGCCTATTAAAATTCTCTTCCCATCCTCGAAATCAGTGATGGAAGAATGATGCTAGAAATTCTCGCTCGCTCTTCTTCAATTAGTTAAATAGGTAATATTCAAAATTGTAATTGACTGTGTGAATTTTGATCAATTGTTATTACCTTTAATTTCTATTTTCTCTGATTTTTTAAACACGGTTCTTGGACAATGCTTCATATATCTCAATCCAGCCACAGACAGCCGAAGGCGGAGCGATTGATGATTCATCTGAATCTCTCATTGATGCTAGAAGGCGTTGATCCATTCCTATTGTTAATTTTTTTTTTTGTAAAATTTATCTTAAATAATTGGGAGTAGTTTGCTTATTTTGATCTAATATCATTTTTGCTTATTTATTGGGAAATAAAAATATAAAACACGAAAGAAGGAATATTAACTTTTGATGAATTGTTCTGTGATTTGTTTCAATAGACATTTTTTGCTCGACGGATGAAATGCTTTCGATGAAATTACTCGATCAAAATATATGGACATTATAACAACTTATTTTTTGCGAAAAGAATAATCGATCACATTTTTTGCGAAAGAAGGAAGTATTAATGCTTTCGATTATCCATTAGAGAAAGAATTGTGCTCAGAATTACTCGATGAAATGCCTATGGAAGATGCTATTGATGCTAATAAACCGAACAAAGAAGTCATCAGATATGCACAATGCCTCCACCTAAGTCTCAAACTACACATTTAGGTAATTTTTCTCACTTCTCGAGGCCAATCAGGGGCGATGTGGGAGAATCATCATCTATCAAGACAGTAGGATCGAGCACTTGTGGGAGTAACCAAGTTCCAAATCAAGGTGATGTGAGCAACAATTTGAGCAGGTGTGTATTTGAAAAAGGGTCAAAAGGCAAAGGACCGATGATTTCGGTTCAAGGAGTTCACGCAAATACATTTGATACTACTATGACTTCTTCATCCGGTGGGCCTGGTTGTAGTTTTGGGAGGACAACAGGGAAGCAGAGTATGAGCAATCAGAACAACAAGAGGAAGGGGAGAGATGCAGAGGAATCTGAATGCCATAGCGAGGTTGGCTATGAAAATTTATGTGTAATTTATATAGAATTTTCGTTTTATCAGTCTATTGATAACTAAATCTTTAACTTGCAAATTTTGTAGGAGGCTGAATATGAATCGATTGAGGCTAAAAAGCACACTCAACAGTCTACATCCACCAGAAAAAGTCGTGCTGCTGAAGTTCATAATCTATCGGAGTGGGTAATATCTATTGTTGTTTGTTGCCTTGAATTCGACACTTCGGTTTCTTTTGTATTGTGCTATTGCCTTGCATTCGATACTTAGGTTTATTTTGTATTGTGCTCTGACTATCAGTTCCTTTAGGTTTCTTTTGTATTGTGCTCTAACTATCAGTTCCTTTTGACTACAGAGAAGAAGAGACAGAATTAATGAGAAGATGAGAGCATTGCAATAACTCCTTCCTCATTGCAACAAGGTAAAGTAAACATGAAAATTTTATGTTTTCCTTATGAAATTGTCTTTTCCATTTTGATATAATTAATATGTTCAATGACAAGTTGCATTATTCTCTGATATCAATGCTCTAAAGTTGCATTATTTCTCACCCCTTATCTTTGCAAGTTGCATTATTTCTCTGATATCAAGTTGCATTGTTTCTCACTCCTTACTTAATTACAAGACTAGAAGGGACAGGAGACTAGCACAAATAGTATTGCTTCCATATTTTTGCGTGGTCACGTCGACTTGAACACAGGTAAGTGTTGTGGTCCTATGTTGTGCCGTGAACTTGTAGCCTTTAGTCTTTCCAATCTTTTGAAGTTGAATATTGGATAATTTTCTTGGAGTGCAATGACAGTAATGTTAAACCTGTAGCAGTTAAATTGAACCAACTCTGCTATGATAAATTCGACGTAAGTCTATAAAATCTTTCATGGAGTTTTGTTTATTGAAATTGTTGATTGTTTTCTGTGCAGAGCAAAGCTTGACAAGCATGACAGACTCTTGGAATTTGTTCGAAAACTCAAGTCTTCATGTGTTGAAACGGTGGAGTCAGGCAAAATGACTAAGGATCTTGCCCTTCTTGTCCATGGTCCTAAGTTAGTATTCTCATTCCGTGTTCTTTACTTATCTTATACATCAACGGTTCATGAATCACAATATATGAGTCAACATGATTTGTTCAATATTCGATAATCAAAATTCACTATAACTTCAATCTTCTGTGATAAATTGATTGTAGTCTCAGACTTCATCACCTTTATAATTGCTAGAATAATCTGATAATTCTAGGTAGTTTTTCATTAATCCTTTAATAAATTTCTTTCTTCGCATTGTAGCAACTTGTGGCTCAATAAATACGGTTAACAAGTCTTAATAACTGACTAATAGCATTTCCTCATTTTGCTTTTACATATTGTTTATATTGCGTTTTTGCTTTTTTGATTATCTGTATTATCTTTTCTTTTAATATGGTATCAAGAGAGTTTTACCTAAGCATAGAGGAATTTATTGATGCTGTTGCGCAAAACCTGAAAGATAAGATTCAAGTGGCAACGACAACGGTTGTATAGGTATGTTCAATTCTATGTTTTATCTACAAATGCAAAATGTTTTCAATGAGTAGGTAGGATATAGTTTCTAAGTGGTATAATCGTTTCACTTGCAGATATTAGTTGTTTGCATGTCAATTTTGTTCGAATGGCACAAACAGTAATAGTGAATCAGTGACCCAATTGAGGTCTTAGTGACACGAGGATGAAGCTAAGGACTTACCAATAATAACAGATACTAACAAGCAGAAGAAGCTGTATAAATATTTATAATCAATAATTTTGGTACATATACACAATGTTATACACAATTATTAATGTGAACGATATAGATTTTGAATTGTGGATAATTGTTGTATTCTTGCCGGAATATTTTCCTGTGAGTCATCACAAGCAGTCACTTGGTTGGGATTGGGCAGAGAAAGCATGCTGATGCTTATCTTTAGGACTATCCACTAAGTAAAACACAACTACCAACTTATCCATGTTGTGAATGGTGGTGGCACGTATCGTATATTGTACATTTGAACATTCACTTGATCAATGTATCGAAGATTTTTATGTGTATAATTGTGTTCTTATCCCCAAAATTTTGGGATAAAGTCTTTGTTGTAGTTGTTAAATGTAATTGCAATAGATTTGATCTTTTTTATTTGTATATGTAAAACATTTGATGTTTTATTCAAAAATTTCTACATGTTTACAGGAGCATATATCAGATCATATATCACAGTTGTCAGGTTAAATGCCAGGTTCAATGATTAACCCATAATGTTGAACTACACAACTATATACATTACTTGAAGGGATAAATAAGCAAGAGATTTAACTATCTGTGTTAAGAGTTTTAATTATCTATGTTTCTATGTTTAAATATGGTCTTCAAGTATATGATGAATTACAAACAAATACCTATCTGCATATCCTCATTAGTTATATATGATGGACTTCAAATATGTTTAAGATAAATTTATCGTGACAAAACAATATCCTCATTGGTTATATATGATGGACTTCAAGTATGTTTAAGATAAATTTATCGCGACAAAACAAAAATGAGATGAGGAAAAATTGCGCACAAAAAAATCTGTAAAGATGCCGTGCTTAGCACGGGATGAATACTAGTTATATTAAGTTATAAATAATTATTCAACATTTACTTTCAACCACTTCTCCAAAAATTACAAAATAGATAATTTCAGAACTTACAAAATATATTTGCTAGAGAAAAAATAAATAAAGATTTAAAATTTTGACAATCTAAAGACTTGAATTTGGTACCTGATAATTGAAAAAAAGAACTATTTATCTTAGTATTTGCTTCTTATATTTAAATTTAAAAATAAAGATTATAGATGATATTATGAAATATGCTCACCTCCTAAACTACTTTCATAATTAAGATGAAAAATAACAATTTTGCATGAGTGACCAAGCTAGAAAATGTCTAGAATTCATAGAATTTGTACAACTCGTAAGAATGCCCCTAAAATTACATATAACCCCATTTAAAAACTCTATTTAAATACTAAAAATTACAAATAACCCCTAAAAACATGGAAATTAAAAACAATTACATAAAAATCTAAACATTGCAAAAAAACCTTGGAAAATATGAAATTGTGAACGAGCCTCTTAAAATATAAAAATTACAAACAAACCCTTAATATTTTTAAAATTACAATAACCATCTGAAAACTTCAACAATTACAAATATTAATACTTTCTTTATAATGCAAGAATTACACACAATCTCCTAAAAGATCTAAAAATTACAAAAAGGGCCTTCAAAAGTTACTAGGGTTAAATGACAAAACTTAAAACTTATTGGGGGTTCTCTATTAAAATTTAGTGGGAGTATTTTGGTCATTTGACAGCACATGAATTAACGATGTTACTTTGGAGGGTTTTCTACCAACATTTATTGAGGATTTAGTGAGTTTCAAAGATATTTGTGGTTTGGTGTCAAGCGCCTCAAACCCTTCGGGATTTAGTGAAAGCTCACTCATATATTTTCCAATTTTTATAGAGGATAAATAGACGGTTATAGAAAAAATATAAATTGAATATAATCAAAGTATTTGACCACATGCAATGGACATGCATTCCAACTAATATACATGTATCTATGTGCGTGTGTAGAGGGAGAGAGGAGAGAGAGTTGAGCTATTAGTAGAATCCAACATATGGATACTATAACCCAATTTTTAAATTTGGAATATAAAAATGAAAATCCAAATCAAATGGATGTGACCTACTACATATGAAGTATCTAAACATGAAGATTTCAACATCATTAACCCATGTATAGTATATCGTCAACATCAATGTTTTTGAATTTTCATATAGTTGCTTAAATTTTCACCCCTTAATATATGATTCAAAACACATTAAAATCTTTTACAATTTTATTTCTAAGTAGTTCATGTATAGCATATCACACTTACAAGCTAAGTTGCATGGAAACCGGTACAAGTATAGGTATGGGCAGTGTTTTAAATGACGGTCGCCATGGCGGACATGGCGACCACCATG